CAGGATGAACATGGGATCACACAGGTGAATATCCATGTCCAGTTCTCTGCCCAGGACCCCACACATGTGCAGTCCATAACCACAGCTTTTGATTCCATCACCCACCCGCCYGTAATAAATAGTTACATGTCACACTACATGGCTTTCCTGCGACTGACAAAGGTCCTGCAAGGCAGGAGAAGCTATTATGGGAACAGATTGCTGGAATAAAATATTAAATTTCCACTTATCAATCTCTTTAATGCGCCATAACTCGAATAGAAGCATTCAGCCTTCTCCCTCTGAACAAATCGCCCTCCCCATTAGGGGTTTGAAGCAACCCTGAACTCTTCCTCCCTGGGGCTGGAGGGAAGATTTTGGGTGGCAAGAGGGGGGAGAGCAGGGAGACAGAAAGGGGGAAAAGCTGCTGCAGGGTTTTCTCTGCATCAGCCTTCTGTGTTGTTTTTTTTTCTCCCAAGGCTGGCTGCTCACTAGATTGAACTCCATTTATTGCATGCAGCTCTTGAAAGAGGTTTCGTGGTCCACTGACAATCCCTAAATTGCCTGCAAGACCCAAACAAATGTACCTGTAATAGCTGAGCGAGGAGGGCTGAGCCCTCCCCTGCACCGGCCTAATCGCTCCTTGGGGAGAGCTGGATAAACATATTCAGATCCTATGAATTATTAAAGGAATTTTTTTTTTTTAATGTGGTGCAGGCCTGTGGGGTTGGCTGTTAATCCCTCCTAGCAGGGCAGATGTGGGTGTGCCCTTCACTGCCTCTTGTTTAACCTCAACCCCACAACTCGGACCTTTGGGATGAGGCTGGGATTACAGACAGACAGCAGCCCAACCCCAAAAATCCTGCCAGCCCCTCTTCCTCTGCCAGCTCTGGGCTGCTGGAGCGTGAGAACGATGCTCCACCAGCTCTTGGAAAAACCACCARGAAAAGAAATTCCAAAGGCTGGAGTGGGAACCCACAGCCCCTCRTCCTTGGAGGAGCCTGTGCCTGGGCAGGTGAGCTTGGGCTGATATTGTGGTGCTCAGACACTTCAAAATGGGCAGGTGGCAGAGGAAATAGGAAGAGAGGGCTGTGGAAATAGGAAGAGAAGGCAGTAGAAATATGAAGAGAGGGCTGTGGAAACAGGGACAGAGGGCTGTGTCTGCTGTCCTGACACCACAAATGACATGGGGTGGCTGGAAAAGCAGAATGACAGCAATAAATGGACACAGAGTTTATGAAGGAGTGGAAAATGAGAGCCTGGTACTCTCAAAGTCCTTTTCAACACCTCTTCCACCTCCTTCTCTGCTCTGAGGGCTGAGCCTGGAGCTTTTGAAGCTCTGCTGGTTGTTTCAAATGTGCCCCAAGGTTCTGGGCACTGCGTGGGATGGATTTCTGCTGCCAAAGGGAGGCAGCTCAGACTGTGCCAGGCACTGCCCCAGGGACACAGTGGTGATAACTCCCAGAAAATAGCCAGCAGCTGATTTTGGCCCTGACCTTGCCCTGGTTTGGGGTGGTTGGGCAGGGCTGGGCACAAAGAGCTTTGTTCTTCCAGTGCTGGCAGATGAAAGAGCCCCCGGAGAAAAGCCTGCACCAGGAACAACTCAGCAGGCAGGGATCCAGGACAGGAGGTGTGAATTAAAGGCCTGCTACAGTGATAATGATCATAAATAAATACCGGGTAATTAGCATCTAATTAGCACATCCCATCCATTGACCTCCAAGCACTTGGATAGAGGGAGATTAGCCCGATTTACCCACGCTGCAGAGAGGAGAGCTGAGGTGCTCAGGGTGCCAAACACAGACTTATTGCTAATTTTAGCTGCCCCAGACTCAGCCCTACGCTGGCTCAGCATTTACTACCAGAGCAAGCTGRTGGAGGGGGTGGAATTTCATCACTCACAGGTCAGACAAATCCCCAAGGATGGAGGGGCAGGAGAGGCTCTGATTGTGTGGACAGCAGCAAGAAGGAAAAACCCTGGGAGCCTGTCCTGTATCCCTGGGAGTCTGTCCTGCACCCCTGGGAGTCTGTCCTGTATTCTGGGAGCCTGTCCTGTACCCCTGGGAGCCTGTTCTGCATCCCTGAGAGTCTGTCCTGCACCCCTGGGAGCGTGTCCTGCACCCCTGAGAGTCTGTCCTGCACCCCTGGGAGCGTGTCCTGCACCCCTGAGAGTCTGTCCTGCACCCCTGGGAGTCCATTCTGTATCCCTGGGACCCTGTCCTGTATCCTGGGAGTTTCTCCTGTACCCCTGGGAGCCTGTCCTGTATCCCTGGGAGCCTGTCCTGTATCCTGGGAGTTTGTCCTGTACCCCTGGGAGTCTGTCCTGCATCCCCCATGCCTTGGGAGCCCCCAGTGCACCTCGTTCCCCACCCTGCTTGGGGTGTTTGCAGCCCAGAGCTCACTGCAGTGGGGCAGAGTTCCAGATCACTGCTCCAAGAGGCACTTCCAGCCCTCCTGAGACCCACAAGTCACTGCCTGATAACCCAAATCGCTCCTTTTACCCCACAGGAATGGGATAAACATCCCTTTCCTGCCCTCAAAGCACCCACAGCTGCTTTCCCCCCTCGGGGATGCCTCACAATGTCACTCTGACTTTCAGAAATCAGGCAAGTGCCATATGTTATTTCTTCTCTTTAAGCTATTTCTTGACATGACTTCCTCTCTGACACTACCTAAGCTTCCCCACACATCTTCCCCCTCCCTCCCTCCCTCCTGTGGCTGCACTGATTTTTGAGCCATCAAATTCCTTCTTGTGACATCACAGCATCACTCCCGACCTGCATCCAGGGATGTTATYCCTTTCTGATAAAGGTGAGCAAGTTCACAGACCAACAATCAAGTTCACAGCCATTAGAAGGAGCTCAAATGAAAAATCACGAGAATTGCCCAACACCAGAACCACCAAACATCATCCTGAGCAAGTGACTCCTCCATCTCCTGCCTTCCACATCCACCTCCTGATCCACATCTCCCTGACATCTTTAACACAGATCTTTCTCCGAATCCAAGGGGCAAACCAATTAAATTGGTGTAAGAAAGGAAAAGACCACAAGAGGAAAGGAGAAAAAAAAAAAAAAATCCAAGGCAAACCAGCGCAACACCAATCCAAAGGCAAGAACTGCGCTGCCCACTCTGCACCACGAGATTCCCCACCCCTGAAAGGACACGCTGGTGATGGAGGAGATGGAAGTGGCAGCTGCTCACAGCCTCCTCTCCCTCCCCACGTTGTTGCAGAGCAGCCCAGGTGCTGTCCTACCTGTGACATTGACTTCCACCAAGCCYGAGCGTGTCCCGATGGCGTTGGTGGCCTCGCAGACGTAGGTGCCGGCCACGCTGTAGGACACGGGCCCTTTGAAGTAGATGGTGTTGTTCTGGATTTCCACGCTCCCTGGCAGGGTCCCGTTTGGCCTGGGGGAGACAGAGACCGTGCTTGACCTCAGAGGTGACACCCAGGAGGTCAAAAAGTGCTGCAGAGGTGACATCAAAATGTTGGGATTCTTCCTTGGGCAGGGCCAGAAGCTGGAGGTGCTGGCTGGAAAATCCCCATTAATGTTGGAAGGAAAGGGACACAACCTCACCATGTTTTATCCCAATTTCCTGCCCATTTAACTCTCCTGATCAGCCAGTGTTAATTACAACTTGAACTCGAGGAGAGCAGYGTTGATTTAGAGCCCTGCCCACGTCAGAGCAGTCAGGTAAGTGTGAAACTGGAATAATGCAAAACCGAACACAGAGGTACAGAAAATAAATGAACAGAGGCAGAGGAAAAATTTAAATTTTAAAAAAAGAAAAGCCCCTGTGTGTTAGGAAAAGACACACATGGCCTGGTTATTCTTAATTACTGAAGCAAAGTAAAGTAATTACTTCTCTTAGGCAATTAAAAATTACTCAAGTAATTCCGTCCCCTCCTCCCAACCCAAATGTGCACATATTGTCAGCAATTTGTAGGAAACAAAAGGGAATAACGGGAATATAATGAGGATTGTGAAGAAGTGCCTAAATGCATGGATTTTGCATGTCCACATACACACATATACACAGAAAATGTCAGTTTTTCCAGATACACCAAGGCAGTGATCCCAAAGCTGATGGAAACCACATTAACCCTGATCCTACAGAGCCCTGAACCTACAAAACATCTCAAAAGGGTGGCGTGGGATGCTCCAGAAGGCTGCAGCCTCCTCTGCCAGCTCTCTTGAMTGCTGCTCATCACCATCCAAACTGGAGGAGAGCAAAAGCCCTGCTGGGTTCCACACTCCAGAAGCAAAACATCAGCAGCCCCCAGCAAGTGGAGGAGGCACAGATGAGCACAGAAATAGCCTCAAGTGGCATCTCTCTGCTGCCTTGGGTGCATTTTTGTCTCTGAGGCTTTCCTGGAAGTTCTGTGAGGAGCCCAGAGAGCCCCTCAGGGTTTTGGTTGGACTGGCAGAACCAACAGATGGAGAGAGCTGGGGATGGGGAGCTAGGAAAAAAAAAATGCAAGGAAAACAATCCTCTTCAGACTTTGCACTTTGAACAGTTTGATCTGGGAAGTGGAATGAGAGAGATTGTGCTCCTTGCAAAGCCATGTTGAGAGCCTCTCTCCTGATGACAAATGCCAGCTGAAAAGAAGAAAGGATCCATTTGATCTTCCTCTTTTAAAGCTACACCGGTGCTTACAGAGAAGAAAGAGCATCAGAGAGAACCACATCAGGCTCTATCAATTCCCACCTGACTGCCCAGACACCCCTCACTCACTTTTCAAGTCCCTTTAGTGTGTTCAGCCAAAAGCTGGAAACCTGGAGGACAAGGAACTGCTGCTGTTTAGTGTCAATCACATGGGGGGCCACTGGAGCTGATTCCAGGGAAAGTTTGATCACACACAGACAAATTTTATGTTGTTTGTGCCCCTCCAAAATACGGAAATCCTGTTTTTTTTTCCAGCTCTGCCACCAAGGCACCTGGTGGTGCTGGGCACACGAATCACCTTGTCACATCTCAGCTGCCTCATGTCACCAAGGGCAGGAGATTATCCCAGCGAGGTGAGAACGGGAACTTTCAATGGATATCGAGGCTGCACTGTGCTGTACCTTGCAGTGACACCACTGACACAAATGGCACCTGAGTGACCAGAGGGCGAGTGAGGTGTCTGTGGAGTGGCCCTATCCCTGCTGGGAGGTGACAAGTGCTGCTGGCASTCTGGGGACACTTACAGCTTCCACTCGTAGGTGTGAGCCGGGGGGTTGGCATCRGATTTGCAGATCAGCTTCACATCCTTGCGGTTCAGGAACCAGTTGCCATCAAAGCCCTCGATGGTGACTTCTGGCTCGTCTGTAGGGGTAGGGGGAAAGGGAGGAGAGGAGGGGAAAACGAGAAAAAAGGGTTGTGGGAAAGGGGAGAAATGGAATGGGATGAGATGGAAGGGCAGGGGTGGGAGAGGGAGAGAGATTAAAAGGAGAGGAAAGGGTTTTGTGAAGGGAAAGGGGAGAAAATGGAATGGGAATAGAGTAGGGGCAGGGGTGGGAGAAAGAGAGAGAGGAGAAAGAGAGAGAGGAGAAAGAGAGAGAGGAGAAAGAGAGAGATCACAAGGAGGGAAAGATGGTGGGACAGGGAATGTGAGGGAGGGAAAAGGAGAGGGAGAAGGGGAGCAAAAGGGATGTGGCAGAAGCAGAGGGCAAGAAAAAAAGCAAACATACCATTATTCCAAAGAACCCCTTCAGTTTCCCTCCACCAGCCCAACCCCTCCCCTCACCAAACCCTCACTTTTCAGGGCTCACCCCTCCTGCCCAAGCAGGGAGCCCCCCAGGCATTCCCAGACCCTTACACTGCACGTTGAGGGTGATGCTGTCAGTGAACCTCTCCAGCTGGTAGTTGACCACGCAGACCAGCGGCTGGCGGTGCGCCTCGCGGCTGGGCACCAGGCGGTAGCGGCTGATCACCGTCACCGTGCCGTTGCTGTTCCGGATCTCCTGGAATTCCGCCTCCCCYTTCAGCTTCGTGTCCCAGCTGACGGTGCTGGGGGGTTTGCCGTTGGAGGAGGTGCAGGTGGCTACCAAGATCTTTTCTGTCCTGCCTGACTTGGCGATGAGCGGCCTCCTGGTGCCCTCCATCCAGTTGGTGGGCTTGGCTGCAGGGGAGTGCGGGAAGGAGGAGAAAAAGGTGCAAAGGGAGGGTTAGAAAAGCGGTGCTACTCTGCTTTCTACATCCCTAGAGCTACTGAGGCTGTGACAGAGCTGGAGCTTCCCATAAAAAAAAACTGCTATCCACCTGCATCATTTTTGGGGAAACAATGGTGGATGGAAAGTCAATCCTTTCCATCCATCAATCCTTTCCATCAATCCTTTCCATCAATTCTTTCCTGCCATGGGTTTTCAGCCCTGTGTTAGAAAGGAACTGAAATTGGAGAGAAAATGACTCCTGCAGACTTTGGGTGGGATCTGCTCACTCACAGCCCTGAGCTCCAGGGACAAGCTCTGCTCGAGTTTAGGATCAATCTGTTGTGTTTTCTCTCCTGACAGCCCTCAGCTCATTAAAGCTCAGCACTCCCACAGGGAATTGGTCACTGTTAGTGCACCTGCATTGARTGTAGGTGGAGGGAAAAGGGGAACTGAAACCTGGAAAGAAGAGTTGTGACAGCTCAGCTGCCTCAAAACCACCTGCCCTGCATTCCCTGCTCTTCACCTCTTCCCAGTCAACTTAAAAATCCATCACAGGTACAATTTACACCCAAAATTCACCTTTGCCCCGAATTCCCAGGACGTGAATCTCACCCAACAGAGYCTTACCCAGCACGGTGAGGTTCAGCTGCCCTTCCCGGTTGCCGGTTGGGAAAGTGGCGAACTCACAGATGTAAACGCCCTCATCCTCCAGCTCCAGCCGCGACAGCTGGATGGTGCCATCCTTGAAGGAGGGGTTCCTGAAAATCACCCTCTCCTTGTAGGGGGACAGGATGGACACGCCCATGGCGGGGTTGTAGATGGCCACATTCTGCTTGGTGCCGTTGGTGGCYTTCTGCCACGTCACCTGCGTGATCTTCACATTGGGCAGCGGGTTGGTGAAGCTGCAGTGCAGCACCACGTCCGTCCCGATGAACCCCGAGACGCTGTCATTGACCAAGACAGTCTGAGCTTGCAGCCCTGCAATAAAATGGGGGGACGTGAGCATTTGTGTCCTTTGAGGGACTGGGTGGTTGTTGGGCACCAGGCTCGTGGATTCCCATGGATTCMTGTGTTTGTTGCACTTGCTCCAGTTTGAGGCTGCAGGCACCTTGTGCGTCCGCCCGCAGCTCCGTTCTTGGTCACAAACACCTTCCTCCCACTGTGAGCAGCCCAGCCTAGGGCTCATCATCACCCAAAGGCAYGAGGCTGGCTCAGTGACACCTTCCTCCCTTTTGTCTGCAGCTCTGGGTGACACCGAATTGGTCCCAGTAAACATGCAGGGCATGTGTGTCTGCAGGCATGTGAGAGCGCTGATGTTTATCAGCACAGCACATCCCAACATATGCCAACACACACTCACACATCCATTTAATCCCACTGGGGCTGCAGCACTAATTAAAGGAGCTGCAAACACTCAGCCCTCATTTCAGGGCAGCAGTGATTCCCACACGGGAACGGCTTCAAGGCACTGCCTCTACACCTTGCATGATCTCCCTGCATCACCCAGATCATTTTTGTGGCCTTTGTGTAACCCCAGGAGGGGCTGAATTTAGGAACCTTCCACCCTGATTCTGCAGAAAGCGCTTGGGAAAAGTGGGAGCTGGAGTTCATGACAGCTCTTGTGTCTCAGCTGATTCCTCCCCTGACAGATGGAGAAAAATATCTCCCACCAGACTGACCCTGAAATTCATCTTTGTTGCCACTGTGTCTCTTCCTAATCTGTGTGTTTAGAGATAATGCTCTGGTAATTATACAGCCAGAATTTGTATGATAAATACAACAGCGAGGCAAGGTGGTGGGAACGAGAAAAGCGGGTTTTGCTCCCTGCTCCTGGGAGAATCTGCAACTGGAAGGATTCTGGGAGCTTGGGARGAAAGGAAAGAAKGGATAATAAYAAAAGAAAGATGTATAGAGAGTGAGAAACGTGAAAGAGTAATGGAKGAGAGAGGGGCTGGGGAAAGAAAAATGCACAGCAAGGGAAACAAGACAGCACCTCCTAAGTGAAATGTCACCCTGCTCTGCTCTTCAGGGGATGAATGGCTCCCTGTCCAAGGCCAAAATGAACTCCTCAGTGCTGGCCCCCCCGGCACATGTGCCCTGGGACTTCTCCAGGAGCCTCCTCCTGCAGTTTCACACACACACACACACACAAGAGCAGGCAGACTAAAGCCTTCCCCACCCACAAACACACACACTCTCCACATTGCCCCTGCACTCCCTGCCTGCTGTTCCCAGCCTTATCCTAATCCCCACCTCACCCACGCCTCTTCTTTCTCCCTTCTCCTTCCTGTGACCCTGAGGACAAGCCCCAACAGCCCAGCCCGGGCCACGAGACGCCACCAGCTGACCACAGCCATCAGCAGTTCCGACCGAAACTCGGCCTCCAGAGCTGTGTGTCAACTTGCCCCCCGCTCCCCGAGCCAAGCCCCACACCCCAGCACCGCAGCTGGGTGCTCAGGAATGTTTTCCAGAGTTTCTTGCAGCCGCAGCAAAGCGCTGGTGCCCTCATGTGCCTGCACGCTCGGAGCCACCGCGTCCTCGGGGGTGGCAGGGTGCACCTCTCTCCTCCAGAACAGCCAGGGACATTCCCCCATGGTTTTCCCTCATTCCCCCATGGTTTTCTCTCATTCCCCTATGGTTTTCCATCATTCCCCCATGGTTTTCCCTCATTCCCCCATAGTTTTCCCTCATTCCCCCATGGTTTTCCCTCATTCCCCCATGGTTTTCCCTCACTCCCCCATGGTTTTCCCTCATTCCCCCATGGTTTTCCCTCATTCCCCCATGGTTTTCTTTCATTCCCCCATGGTTTTCTCTCATTCCCCCATGGTTTTCCCTCATTCCCCCATGGTTTTCCCTCCAGAATTCCGAGGGTAGGGATGATCCCACTCGGAGAAAGTCACATCTGGACGATGTTTCCCCTCTGGAGAATGAAATGCCAGCAGCAGGGCACAGAGAAGGACTTTGCTGCCACCCATAACCTCCTTGCTGACAGAACGAGGGCACAGGCTGGGTTTAGATGAGGCCACGCTGGGATTCGAGGGAAGCTCGGGGAGGGGGAGATGTCACCACCGTGCTGTGCAGCATATGCTGCTCCCTGCAGCCCGGAGGTGAGCGAGCCTCTCGCAGCATTGCCCACACACACCCGCCGAGGTGAGGAACAGCTTGGCCACGCAGCCCGGCTCCCAAGGCTCCAGAGCCTCCCAGAGCGTGTGGGAGCTTGCTGGAGAGCATTTCCATCACGTAGCCAGAGCCTGGGGAGCAGCCCAGCCCGGCCCTGCCTGGCTGTGGGTGTGCTCAGCGCTCCTGATCTCCCAGAGATGGGGGGTGTGGGTTCAGCAGGGGGGTGGATCTGCTCCCCATCAGCTCCCCAACCCCCACGAGCCCCTTGGAACCGAGATTTCCACAACCCAGCAAAGAGAACCTATCTGCCACAGCGCAAAACCCCGGCCCAGCATCTCCTCRTGGGGCTGGGGGAGCAGGAGAGGAGCCAAACTGCACAAAGGAGGGGTGGAAGGAATCAGCTCAGAGCYATCCTGGCAGGGCTGGCACCAGCATCTCCTCAGAGCCATCCTGGCAGTGTCTTGTGGCACATCTGCATCAGCACTGCCAGKCTGAAAGTGCCACTGACCCTCAGGATGTGCCCCTTAAATGGAGTTAAAGTCACCGAACCCACAGTGATTCCAGCAGGGAATGTGATGGAGAGAGCAGGGGAGGTCGATCCAGTCCCTCRCTCCATCCATCATTACTGTGCCCTTCCTTTACGCTGTGATTTCCCCACAAATTAATGAGCTGACCCTTTTAAAACTCAAGTTATTTATCTTGACCTTGAGCACCAGCAACAATTCCCAGTCCTGCCCTCCCTCTGCCATAGGATCCACGCATCAATGCAGGTTTAACTTGGACACAAAAGTGGACAAAAAGTGGATTTTGGAGCTGATGAACCCGATCCTGAACCCGGAATGGTCCTGCAGAACCCTTCTGAGCCCAGGTGTAAAAAGCCAGACTTTTGGCCAGGGAAAAAGCTGGTGCCAGTTRAGTGAGGAGTGCTTGCCAACAACCAAATGCTGCCAAAGCCGGGATTCAGGCCCTTACTTGTAGCAGCTTTAACAAAAACACATTCCAAACTTTCTCGAGGCTCCAGGGGAAAAGGGAAGAAAAAAAAAATAACACCCGGCAGAAGAAATAACAACACAAAACAAACAAAAAAGTACCCTGAAAAACCCCAAACACTCCACGGAAATCGCGTTTCCTTTCCAGGTGACTGAACAACTCTTTTGCAAGACAGGAAAAGCTCTTTCTGTTCCACTCACCCAAGCTTTGAATCAGGAAAATAACACACCCGTTCTGCTCCAGGAGCACCCACACCTCAACTGCAGGGATGGGAAAGGGGGACAGATGGAGGAAAAGGMTTTGGGAAGCTGCTGGATCAGCTCCCCATCCTAAATCAGAAGCCAGAGGGCAAAACTTGGCTGCTGCCACGCTCRGGGGAGCACTTGTTTGCAAGGTGACTGAGCTGGGCTGGCGGGTCTTCCCTCGGCCCGTTACACACTCAATAATTCATCAGGGCACACRCATGGATAATTGACGGCGATGAGCACGCGAGGCCGGCGGAGGAGGAGAAAATAAAATCACTAATCAGCCTCTGGAGAGGTTTGAACGCATCCAGCTGGATGTGTGTGTGTGTGTGAAGTGCTGGGATCCGCGATCCGCGTGGTTGGGGCGGCAGGAAAAGGCTTGGGATGGATCCTGCCATTTTCACACCCCGTGCCAGATCTCCTGGTGCTGACACCTCCCAGGGGCAGCCAGCACCCGGGCAGGGATTAGCTGGATGGGTTGCAGCTTGCCCACTTGCRTTTTATTCATGAGTTTTTTGTCGGGGACCAAAAGGGCCCAGCCGTGCGCCAAAGACGCGCCGGTGCCAAGACCTCATTAGTGGAGACCTKGGAGATCCTCCTCCTCCACCTCGGCCTCTGAAGTGGTTTGTGTTGATGCCTTTCCCCACGATCCCAAGCCCAGATATTCAGTGARGCCTCGGGGGCACCGTGCTCAGCTCGGGGAGCCCTGAGGCACACGGGCTGGGAAGGAAGGTCAGCGTTCCCTGAACGCCACGGGCACTGCGGACAGAGCAAACGTGGCAGGTGGTGGCTCTTGCACCTGAAAATCTTTTTTTCCCCAAAGCCCAGGAGGTGCTGCTCCAACCAGGCTCCCACACCTGCACAGCTGGTTATTGCTCCCCCATACAGAAAGCTCTGGAAATGATCTCCAGGCTCTGGGGGAGCTCTGTCACAACCTCGCTCAAAGCCTCTTTGTTAAGAGCCATGTGAACTCCGCTCSGCTTTGCACAACTCTGCTGAGCCTCTCACCGATTCCTGTCCCTCCTGATACTCATCTCCCCCCGAGGGCACTGAAACAGCCCTTGGCAGGATGTGCTGAGCCACCCTGCGGTGTGGCAATATCATGACTGATGCAGATGTCACAGGAATCGCTCCTGATGGCCTCAGCCACAGCAGCCGAGATCTCACGGAGGGACAGATCAATGCATCACACTCCAACCTGCAAAAACTCCTGCAAAAAGCACCTGATTTGGTGGCAGCAGCTTGGCCATGGGCGATGATGTCCCATCTGTGGTCCCACATGTCTCACAGACACCACAAATTCCCCATGAAGGAAAACTGGGATGGAACAGGAGCCCAAAACTTTCCACTTGGTGGCACTTAAAAGTTTATCTCCCTGCTTTTCTGAACTCATCCCTCCAGTGGAAAACAAGGTCTGAAATGCAGCTCTGGTGGGGCAGAGCACAGGMAGCCTCCAACAGCCCAAAGGAACATCCCAGGTGTGTCAGGCTGGGTGGGAAACACGGGAACGAAGATCCTAAATCCCAACAGGGGAATTTCAGGTGGCAAAAAGCAAAGGTTTGAGGTGGCGCTTGGCCAAGAGGTTGGGGTTAATGCCTCTGCTCCTGCCAGGGAGGCTTTGCA